TTACTGTGTGTTATCTGACATTTTCGCTTATCCGACGTTCTGCCGGCCCGTTTATGTCGGATAAGCAAGACTCTACTGTATTTCCATTTGGGAAAGAGTTCTTGACAGGAATGTAGGAAAGGAAGGATTGTCCCAAACATAAAAAAGGATTCCCACCGGTGATATCCCAGGAGATCTGCAGTTAGACAGTCTGTGCTTGGGAATTCTTGGAAGGCATGCCTGGGTTTGGGGAAAGCTGGCAGTGCCAGCCTGCAAGACGAGAGCATCCAAAAGAAGGGCATAATTTGAAGGAATGTGGAATTCCCACATACCATTATACCCAGGAGGTCACGTCTAGAGGATGAGCTCACACTCAAGATTTTACTCCATCTTTTTCCAGTCAGTTGCTCTTTAAATATGCTGGATTTCATCTTCCATAATCCCAGACTATATGGCCATAAAGGCTGAGGAGAATAAAAGTTGAAACCCAACACATTTGAAAGGTGGCAGCTTGGGGAAGCCCGTTACTCTTTTCCTGCTGAACATCCTAGCAGCGCTTGCAACTTAGTAAACCACAGATTCAGATCTTGCCCACAGGGGTCTAGAGGGAGGGAGGTCAAAAAAGTCAAGATGGTGGTTGCAAGTTTTAATGCACACTGCTTTGATCGAAACTGGCATATCGATGTTTTTGACCTCCCCTCCCCTTATTCCATTCCATTTTTAAATTTCAAAGACGACAGGACCACTGTTTAGAAACACCACCTTTCTGGAAAGGAGAGAGGGAGAGACTCAAAACACAGATCACAAAAGCTTTTTTTCTTTTTATTTTGGTGTAGAATTTGAAACAGGTGTTGAATTATTGGGGTGGTTTTATTGATTGATATTTTTTTTTAAGAAAAAGCCACAGCGAAACATGACATTGGGGTGATGGTTAGCCAAGGGTCTCACACGCTGCAAATGTCTCACCTTAACCAGAAGAGGCAAGTTTTTTTTTAAAAAAAAGCACTGAGAAAATTCACAAAGAAATGAAATGTGGATTCATCTCAAGTTGCTTCTTCTTTTCAGAGAATGGTAAAATAGAAAGAGCATCCTGCAGCACGTAACCCGTGTTTCTCAACCTTAGCCACTTTAAGATGAGTGGACTTCAACTCCCAGAATTCATGGCTGGCTGGGGAATTCTGGGAGTTGAAGTCCACGCATCTTAAAGACACGAAGGTTGAGAAATGTTGCTCTAGAATTCCATCACTCTTCTGGGATGAGCAACCAAGCAGAACTCGGTCACAACTGTTCCAGTGCATTTGGCTTAAAACTGTTCCTCTCCTAACCCCAGTTCCTCCGTATTAACTGGGTTAACATTAGGACTGAGCAGGGCTCTGTACCCATAGCTGAGAAGGTCCTTTGGAGCAGATCTGGGGGCACATGGCACAAGTCAATACCTCCTTCAAGAAGCTGTGCTCACGGAGTAGCTGCAGGATACCAGGAAAACATGCTTTTGAGTTAAGGACAGCGTAAGCCCGCTTGGCACTATTTTTCATTCAAGCCGGTGTTTTCCTGGCAACTCTTCGCAGTAGGCAAGGTCAAGAGACAGAAGCAGCAGAAATTCCAGGAATGGTCTTTATTGTCGTAGGGTGGAATAACAGAATCTTGAAAGCCTGTCCAAGTTGCTCTCTACTCCATCTTATACCCAACAAAATCAGGACAGAATTGAGTTTCTTGCTCACGTTTTTCTCTTCCCCATGACTGGGGGATCTTTTCTCCTCTCTTAACCTTCTTCTCAGGGCCAGGCCTACAGGCATATCACACTTCCTGGGCTTGCATAACTACTCAGTTAAGCCTGTTGTGTAACAGGCCCTGGATTAGGAACAAAAGAAAGGGCCGCAGTGAAGATCAGAGCTTCTCCAGTTAAAGTTTTTTAAAGTGTCAGGCAGTGTGGAAGAACTCTGCCACATAGCCTGAAATTATTCACTTCAAGGATGAGTCACAAGAGGTTCAAAACCACCCCTTTTCTTTCTCTTTCCTTCCCAAACTCTTGCTTGAAGATTTTGAGAGTAGGCTGAACTCTGTCAGGGAGCCGAGTTTATACAACATGCTTAAAAAGTCCAAGTCGGAGTTTGCACAAGAAAGTAGGCTCCATTTGCTTTAACCAGGGTTCATCTCTCCCCCCCCCCCCCCCCACAAGCTAGTATGTTGCAGGACTTCAGCCAGCTGAGTTTCTTTCTGGTTCAAAGACATTCCATAAAATTTAAATTAAATCAAATTTAATTATTTTTTAAATTAAATTAAATTTAATGTAAATGACATTAAATTAGTTCAGTCAGGAACTAATTTAAAGATGCTAAGCCATCTGTAACAGGGCAAATGACTTGGAAAAAAGGTAACAGGCTAGGCTGAATATATGCATTTTAATAAATTGAAAAGGGGACCACCCCACAATTTTC